GTCGCCAGTTCTCATCTTCCAGCTCCCCAGATACTCCGCGTACTAAATTAAAGTTGTACTAGTAAGTCGCCAGTTCTCATCTTCCAGCTCTCCAGATACTCCGCGTACTAAAGTTGTACTACAAAGTCGCCAGTTCTCAGCTTCCAGCTCCACAGATTGCTCCGCGTACTACAGTTGTACTACAAAGTCGCTAGTTCTCATCTTCCAGCTCCCCAGATACTCCGCGTACTAAAGTTGTACTACAATTTGCCAGTTCTCATCTTCCAGCTCCCCAGATACTCCGCGTACTAAAGTTGCACTACAAAGTCGCCAGTTCTCAGCTTCCAGCTCCACAGATTGCTCCGCGTACTAAAGTTGTACTAGAAAGTCAATTTCATTCTATTCAGGTGCCATCTCGCGGCATCTGGGTGTCAAGGTTTCATGCCAGCTTTGAGAACCTCCTTGTGAAACCACGTCAAACGTGAAACACTTCGCCCGTTTGTCGGCTCGATTTGGCCCTGGCATCCTCTACTACTGCCTGATCGCTCAAGGCGTGGAGTGGCATCAAATAAATCTTAGCGGTCGTTCTTTCGACTGGCAGGCTGGGTGGCATGGCTGGTGTGGGCGGTGTGGTTGCTACATAACCTCCAGAGTAAGGACCGGGCAACGTTGTTGTGTGCCATGTTGGTTGCACAATCACCAGCCCTCTTTCGTTCTTCCATTCTCTCTTCCCCTCTCTCTCTCTCCCTCTTTCTCTCTCTCTCTCGCTCTCCCCTTCTTCGATTCTGTTGGTTGCTATCACTTGAGGAAGGGGATAAGAGCCTCACCAATCACAGCACAAGTCTGACGTCAATGAAACAGACTGGTCCTGAACCTTCCCAACAGCAACTCTACCCTTCTTAAGACACAGTCAAGTTTAAAGTGGCCAACTTTTCCAAATGGTGAGGATAGCAATTTTGTGTGCAGGACCTTCTCACGCTATGATCTCTCAGGAGGACCGTGTGCACATCTCTTTTTGCCCGCTATGATGAACAGTTTACTTTTCGCAGGTGTGTGTGTTCTTGAGTTCATTTGCCCAGAAGCGCAGGAGGTGAGTGGCCCAGCAAAGAAGCAGACTTTATTGTGAGGACTGTGTGCACGTTCGACATATGTCAAGTTCGACATATGTGACTTTCAGCCGCGTGTCCAGGACGTCCACCATGCCAACCTTGTGGTGCGTGGGCTTGGCTGGCGGTCGGCGGTGGTTTAACTCATGTCTCACCAGTTGGCTTGTTTTACCAGTGGTTTACCTCATGTGAGTCGGTGCTGTTTGCAGCCATTTAATTATTTTAATTGGTGTCATCTACCATGATTCATGCCTCATTGTGCTTCTATATTCCCTAGCTTCTCCTTGAAATTGAAATGTTTTGGATGTTGCAAGCCAGTCTGAAGTCCGATCTTTGCAAGTCCTTAGTTAGCATCACCCTATTGCAAATAATCAGACTGACCACGGAGCTGATGGGATCGCGTGGCAATGGCATCTGATAGGAGGAAGCCACTCAGCGCGTGTCACTTTGCAGTTGAGTTGCGTAAGGCTTGAGGCGCTAGCTTCCCCCTCCACCCCTCCACCGAGGTTTCTTCGAGCTTTCAGTGGGTCTTTGACGAAGGCCAGCAGGGAGGATGAGAGCGATTCACTTGCCGCGAGGTCTTCTCCTTTAGGTGAGACTCGAATGAGCCGCAAAGAGTTTGTACGGGCGGTAGCTGTTGCAGATGACCCACCACCCAAGGCTTCTTTCACACTGGAGGCGATTTTAGATTTCCAAAGATCTCAGTCTTTGGCGCAGAAGGGAGATGATAAGGCTGCTCGCCCATCCACCCAAAGAAGGCGACCCAACTATGATAACTCTAGAAGGCAGTTGTTGAAGCTACAACTTGGCCGCACACCGTAACTTGACTGGACATCTCTTGTTCGCCCTGTTGGGTTTTTGACTTTTGAGTGCTTCAGACTTTTTGAGTGTTTCGCCCTGCTGAGCCGCCCTCGTCGCAATCCATGAGGCATGGCAGCCATGGTGCTTCCCGATCACGTGTTCTTGGTTTGTTGGACAAGCCCTGCAGATGTTCACGAAGAAGTTGCTTTCAACGTTTTCAGAATGTGTTGGAGGAACTCATGAAGTTTCTTTCAATTTTTTGGAGCCTTGCCACCGCGATTCAGGATGTTTTTGTCAGGCGCCCAGGTTGATCACAGTTCAGTGGTGCCATAATCAAGGTAACATGAGTCTGGTAGCAAGCAAGCTAGGCAA